CAGGGGCGGTTTTGGGGAAGGTGCAACACGATCAGTAACTGATACCCGGGGAATGAAATGAAAAGTCCCCTTTTCTGGCACCTGTCCCCGCTGTACGGCTAAAAGTAACTAACCAGAGCTTCCAAGCACAAAAACACCCCCACCCCCCGAAAGAAAGGGCAAGATTTGAGTCCAGGAGCGCCCCAAAAGCGTGCACGCTTTCAAGCCCTCCAGGAAGGTTCATCCGGCCGGACATTCAAAACAAAAACAAACAAAATGTAGAAAAAGGAGATATTTCAAGGCACCGTCTGAAGTCACCACCCCCTATGGGGGGGGGGCCCTTAGGTCCCCTTTTCTCTGCCTCCTGGGAAATAGGAATGGCAGGCTGCATTAGGCTGCACCCACGGCATTCTGGGAAGAAGAAGCCAACAAAAACATAAAAAACATGGACACCCTCCAACTGTAAATACAAAGTCGTTTTAACGTCCCCCCTCTGAGGCTCGCAAACCCACAAAATGCTTTAAGAGGCCGAGAGGAAAGGACACACATCGGAGCTCTACATTCTGCGCCCCTGAAGATTCTCCGAGCGGTGGTCCTGTGCAGAAATTCTGCAGCCTCCTGCCGGTGGATTTCGTGAGGCTGGCTTGGACCGGAGGGATTATCTGCAGAGGTTGGGACGGCGCGGCTAGGCTGTTTCTCGTCTTTCCTCTTCCGCCCGGCTCAAGCCTGGACGGTGTTCCCAAAGGTAGACGATTCCTCCCCCGGCTACAACGCAAGGAAAGGAAGAAGCAAAACTCTCTTTACCTGCAGCAGCAGATCAGTCAGGTGCGCTGAGAAGAAGAGGCGAGGCGGAGGAAGAGGAAGCCGGCGGGAAACGGGATCCCCGCGGGGGATCGTTCACCCGGAGGATACGCTGAGGCACAAGGCGACCATCTGACTGGCTGGAGACGCGGTTCAGGGGCAGGACGTCACTTCGCCCTTCCCTCTCCCCTCTCTTTTAGGAAATCTGTTCTTGTTGGCTTGGATAGAGCCCTGCTGCTGTCGGGAACGTTCACCTGAATATCTGGATCTCGACTTGTCTCTGTCCCAGTAATGTGGTGATAAGCTCTAAATTGGTGAGGTCTTAGAAATAGAAAGCAACAGTCCAGACTGTTTTGTGCTAACGATTTACATGTATTTACACAATTCACACTAAGCTGGTGTATATGCACTGACAAAGTGCTTCTACCTTTGAGAGCAGAGAAACAGTCCAGTATATTCACAGATGCATACATATCAGCAGTGAACAAACACCAATCAGCATTCAGTGCTGAGTCATTAGGCACAGGCATTCTTGCTCTGGTCAGAACCGGTATGACCTACATAATGCAGCTGTCATGAACTGTCAGTTAGATCACCAGCCTGATGTCTTACCAAGCAGCACTCATGTGTGAAAAGTGGAAAGTACTGAGTTTGACATGTAGCATAGTGATCAGCTCATCCTTTATTATACTCCAAAACCAAAGATGATCTGGCCGGTCTTCCACCGGCTTATATCCATGCACACACACACACACACACCACTCCCAGTGATAGGTTCTATTTACACTACCCAGTCCCCATAGGTCCATCCTAGGATCCGCGTGAGCCCATTGGTCTGCGTCGGGATCCTACCTGTTTATTGTTCCAGACCCAAAGGTCTGTTTGACCGCATAGCCTTGCTAGCGCTGGCGTGGCTATCTTAAAAAAGGTAAAGGTTCCCTGGCTCGAAAGCCAGTCGAATCCGACTCTAGGGTTGCGGTGCTCGTCTCCATTTCAAAGCCAAAGAGTCAGCGCTGTCCGAAGACGTTTCCGAGGTCATGTGGCCGGCATGACTAAACACCAAAGCGCATGGAACACTGTTACCTTCCCACCAAAGTGGTACCTATTTATCTACTTGCAATGTCTTGCTTTCGAACTGCTAGGTTGGCAGGCGCTGGAACTAGAAACGGGAGCTCACTCTGTCTTGCGGCACCCGGGTCTCAAACTGCTGAACTACTGACCTTCCACAGCCTGCAGTTCAGCGTCTTAACCACTTGAGCCACCACTATCTTAATACATAACAAAAGAAAAAAGGACTATTTATGTCACACACACCCAGAAACACTATCACTGGACCCAACAACACCAACTCCACCATCTCAGGTGCATTCACTTGCTCATCTCCTAACATTGTATATGTTATTAAATGCCAACAATGCCCTTCTACATAGGGCAAACAGGTCAAACTTTGACACCTCTGGTCCAGGCCTTCAGTCCATCAAAATCCAAGCTAGTCTCTTTGCCCCGAGCTCTTAGCTCAATTATAGTTTTTTGGCCAAGCAGCATCAGGTAATGATATTAGCATATATTTCCTGTGTGTAACTCTGCCACAGGGTGGATAAATAGACACACACCCACTCAGGACACATCCATGATGGAACCCCCTGATATGCTTATGTTGCATATAAGCCTGTAAAACAGACCTGTTCCGCCGGGCCTTTGGCTTGAGGCGGCGGATGCTCAGCCATCTTGGCCTCCCCTCCTCACAATCACCTGCTTCAGTGCCCTCACATGCTCTTTTGCTCCTGACTGGTGTTGTTCCAGGGTAGCCTATTTATACTTAAAGGTACAGCGTTCTCTCAGAAATTACCTCGTGTTTTTCTCCAGCCTTCCTTCCCTTTGTTAGCTTCATGCGGGAATGGTGGCCTTCAAGACGGGCCTCAAGAATGTCAACAGGGCACTGTAGTAAAATGGGGTCCTATTAATCCTCATCTGACTAACATCCTGCAAGAGGCATTATGGTAATGAAGCTGTTTGTCTTAGTTGCCATCTTGTTCTAATTGTTATAATTTTAAAGTTAAATTTGAATTTGGTTTTTAGATTGTACGTTTTAATGTTATATGTTGTAACTGCTCTGAGCCCACTTGTGGGGTAGCCTGGGATATGAGTCTAATAAAATAAATAAATAGGTAGCAACATAAAGAATGCATAAGCTACGGCCTTTGATTTTTGGGCTTAAGGTTGGTGCCATCTAATGCAGGTCTTGAGAACGTGTTAGTTTTTTTATTTTTTGCTGTTTGTGTTTAGAGCATCGTGTTGCCTATAGATTAAACCTTTTGCTTTGATAAAATTTAAATAAACTTCATATGATTTTTTTTAAAAAAATAAAGGTTTGGTTACTCGGGACACTTGGGATTCAGTCTCGGACACCCTGACATGTGCATTCTGCACTTTCGTCTTCTAACTCCACAACAAAAAGGGCTAGAGAGGTTTTTAAATTGTGGCAATAGACCATTGTAACAGCATGTTCTAGTGGTTCCCAGTTTTTTAAAGCCCTCTGCTGCCATGTGGGAAATGGCAGCCAGGGCTGAGACAAGGTAAATGGCCCTGATGTGGACAGGACCTGAGAAACTTACATACAGCCAACTGTGCTGTCTTCTTCCAAAGATTTTTCAGTCTCATCTGATATAGGTATGTTTAATCCCTCACCCACCTTTTTACCTGTGTTAAGCCATTTCTGGCTCAACAGAGACATATTTACTGTAAATGACCATACCACGTTCTCCTTCTTTGGTCTCCATGTTCCTGGTCACCACCAGCCTTACTCAAGCAATCTCACGTACCAGATTCCAGCGGGATTTTAAAAAGTTCACAGGGCTAGAATTCAGGCCTGAATATAAATCTACATGGCACACAATGGCCCCACTGATTAGTAAATGGGAATCTGTTGTGGACCTTCTGAGAGGTCGAGACACTCAGCTGAAGTCCCAAAGGGGCTTAGCCACCTCCTGGAGGGCTTCTTCCCTTCTGACTGGGCATAGATACTGCCACCAGCTGCCTCTTTGCCTCCATCTCCCAAACAGCCCCTTTTCTTCTTCATAACAAAAGCTCATCCTTTCTATGTTTCATTTATTGAGCGCTGCCCATATGCATGGCACCTAGAGGACAGAAAGGCAGGTCTCTACCCTGAGATCACAACACAAAATTTGCCACAAGAGAGACTGAGGGAGGCAGACGTGGGGATAAAACAAGGGCAGAATAAGCATCCATTCCAGTTCGTTTGCATTTAGTTCAAGCATAGGGATGTGGAGGGGAGTTAAGCCCAAGGAAGGTCTTCACAGAAATGGTAAGTTTTGAGGAGGGAGTCGAAAGAAATGAAAGACATGGCATCACACAGGCATTTGGGAGTGGAAGTTCCAGGAAAGAGGGTCAGTACCCACCTTGAGTCTTTTTGAGACAGGTGGACTAGCACTGAAGTAAATCTTGATAGTAATAAAAGGATGCCTATGTCTGTCCACGTGCCATAGGCATAACTCATCAAAAATGAAGCTTGGGGGCTCAAAATGGAGCTTCAGCTTCCAGCTAATTATGGGAGTTGCAGTCCCCAAAACCAAAGGAACCAGAACTCCCTGGCCCAGTGTTGGATATTTAGCAGAGTAAATGTAGCACAGCAGAAATAATGCATAACAGACACATGAGTGTTTAGCTTCAAAAAAAAGTTTACTACAAAATGAGGGAAAGGGATTACATGGAAAGAAAATGACACTAGTTTGGTGTAGTGGTAAGGAGCATGGACTCTAATCTGGGAGAACCAGGTTTGATTCCCCACTCCTCCACATGCAACTGCTGGTGTGACCTTGGGTCACTCATAAGTTCTTTCAGAGCTGTTCTCTCAAGGGCAGTCCTCGAGAGAGCTCTCTCAGCCCCACCTACCTCACAGGGTGTCTGTTGTGGGGTGGGGAAGGGAAAGGGATTGTAAACCGCTCTGAGACTCTTTCAGGTAGTGAAGAGCAGGGTATAAATCCAATCTCTTCTTCTAACTCCTCTCTCTAATCTGCTCTATGGCTGCAGTCACACACACTAAATAATCCAATTTCAGTGCCCTTTACAACTGGATTTTACCGTGTGAACTGGCAAAATCCAGTTGGAAAGTGGAGTGAAAGTGCAGGGGTAATTTCCTGCAGGAGAGCACAGGAGCGGAGCTCTGGCAATAAAGAGACTAAAGAGCCAGGGGGAGGCACATGCAACAAGACTCGCCCCCTGCTCCCAGCAGCCCAGGGCCACAAGGAGCAAGCAGCAGCCAGGAAAGTTGCAGAGCCCCCCCCCCGGCACGCCCACGTTGCAGAGCCCGGGAAAAGGCCCCGCC